AGTAGGAATCTTGTGAAAGTTTCAGTATTGTCTCGGCACAGAGGCCGTGTGAGTTATTTTCTTCACGATCAGTGAAATGACAAGGATCAAACTGGCTTGAGAGGAGGAAACTCTCTTCAATTTTCTACCTTGAGCAGCTCCATTTCTTTTTCTCATTCAAAGAATCTGTTTCCTCAAGCAGTGCCGAGCATGGCTCCATGATGGAGGACCCTGTGTCTCCCCAAAATAAAGGCCTGAACTAATGAGATGCTGAATCCCTCCTGTTAGTGAGCTCTGTCGGTTTTCCCCGTAGTCGATGGGAATTGCGGATGTTTGGCATTCACGGGAATTGCTGAATACGTTGCTGGATTGGGCCCTGGGTATCGCAGGGTTCATAAAATGAGGGTGGCTTTTCTGTTTCAGGCTAAAGAGCCTGTAGTGTAATTTTGAAGTAAATCAGGCTCTAATTTTTACTTCTTGTGGAGAAAGCCTAATAAAGTAGTTGTTGCTGCAAAATTAGTTGCTCGTAATTTCTTCCTTGTTTCAAATTCTTTGGTTACATGTCTCAGCTAAGGGAGTTAGATAACCCCTTCTCTCAAGAGAACTTGTGTCAGAGCTGTACAAAAAGGTAGTACTTTCTCATTAGGGGCTGACGTGATTTTAGCACTGAACAGATCTGCGGAGAATAAATGTCATCTGTTCTGTGGATTTTAGCTGTGGTTTTCTGCGTGAAATGCTGTTGACTGGAGTAATTTTCATCCTGCGCTTCCTGGCTGATTTTGGCAAAACCATACCCCATGTAGCGCTTTAGAGTGAAAGATCTAAATATTTCTATTAGCAGAAGCGTGTTAAATTTCTTGCGTGGAATTGGCATAATGGGCTGACATGAAGCAGGCAGACGCTGGACCAAAGAAAGTAGTCAGCTTGTGAAAAGATAGGAACAATTTCAGCTCTATAAACTGATCTCCTTGAATTCATCTGTGAATATTTGTCAAGTTTAGCACTTTGCTGCTGTGTGTTGAACGGATGTTTAGGTTGCGCTAGGGTCCTTCAGAGTGGCTGAGGAGGGTGAGTTTGAATTTACATCTCCTTTGCATCTCATAGGTGTGTGAATTAATCCAGGAGAAAATGATCAGCATCTTTGTAGATGAAGATGAGTTAACGAAATTGATTACAGAAATGGATTTCTTTGTCATGAGTGCGGTTAAATAGCTGACATAATATTCCTTTCTAAAGAGTGTTCTAGCCAAAGGTTTGGTAACAGTAACTCTTGGATACCTAGAATAATTAATCTGTTTCCAGTTAAAATGTCAATGCATATCAACTGGATAGGGAATAAACCCATGTCTGTAGCTGCTGTGCTGTTACGAGGTTATTCATAGCTAGGTTTTCATCATATCACCTTAAACAAAAGTTTTGAAAGTAAACTTGTAAATAAAATAATGCAAGCTATGTTTATGGATGGGTTTACGAAGTGCTGAGGCCCTTGGTATGTTTTTGAATTACATGGGCATGGAAAACGTTCAGTTTCTGAGAAAGCCCCATCATGCCAGTTGAGGCTCGAGATGCGGAGGGTAAATTTAACATAAACTACGCTCGGCATGCAAGGAGTATCAAAAGTGATGCGTAAAGTAAATTTAACCTTCACAAATTTAAAACTCTGTAACTCAGAAAGAAATGGTGCTGCTGAAGATTTGTACATAGATGTTGACAGTCTAAGCTATCTTTCTAACTATATGTTTCTGGATAGCTGTACAGAGACATCAGAGGTATTAAATACAGTTTTGCAGCCAAAGTACTGCTACTATGTAAAGGACACAAGCTTCCTATTTTTTTTCCCCTCAAAGAGTTCCCCATTTATCCAGTTCTAATCTAATCAGTATCAAAATCTGCCTGTTGTGGCTGGGATTTAGCATCCCGCTGTATGTGCCATTCCACTTCCCTTGAGGTGTGAATTGGTTTTGGTCCTCTGAGAGAAAAATATTAACTGGCCGTTTGATACCCGTTCTGTTTTGTCAGGCTAAAGTAGAACTATTTCTCATATTTAAGCCAAAAGGCACGTAAGCCTTAAAGCTGGCAGTCTGCAGGCTCGGGATAACGCCAGGGCAAATGGGAGACGTTGCTTAATACCCAGGTTAAGTGTACGATAACTCTGATGCTTTCAGCTTCCAGTGAGGGAAGGAGGGGGCATCGCTCCGGAGCACCTCCTGCCGCTTGTTTGCGGTGGCAGGCGAGCAGCTGCGGGTTACAGGGGCTGGGGGAGAGGAAAATGGACACTGGGGAGGAAGGATGCGTGGCAATGACCTTCCAACCTGGCGCAGGACAGCCTGTTTCCTGAGCTGCTGACTCAAGGGTACAGCGAGCCCTCCCCATGTGTGTCCTTGGTTGGGATTGGGCAAGAGAGAGGGAAACAGTGGTCAGGCACCTCGAATTTGCTGGGAAATGTGCAAAACTTGAAACCCGACATGAGGTTTTTGGTGTGATCCTGGGAACTTATTGCTGGATCCCAATCAAGCATAGCTTGACTACAGAAAAGGAAGGAAAAGCGTGAAGGTTTTTCGGTGTTGGTGGAGTTGTGTTGTTTGGGGTTTTTTTTCCTATTGGCAAGTATTATCTTTACCAAGAATGCCTTTAGAATATCTTATGTGCAGTAAGCAAGAGCTCTTTCGGTTATCTTGCAATTAGTTTATATCGCTTTCAAATGAACACCACTAGACTGAAAGGTCAACCTTGACCCTGGCTTATTCTGTGCCAGAATTTTCTTAAAAACTCTGGTGGTGGTCGCCCCTTTCCACCCCCTGAGCACTTGGCTGTTTATTTTCAAAAACAACCCTTCTGAAATCCCAGCTCCTCAGATTTTTTTGGGGTTTTTTTTAGATGAAGACCTAATTGTAGGAGCCTGGTTCTGCCCCCTGAGAAACTCCATTTGCATTAATTGAGAGAAAGCAGGAGATGGTCTTTAGAACAGATCCTGCCAAGCAGGGCCTGATCCCACCACTTGCACCTAACAGGATTTTGGTATCCCTGACTCCAGGGGAGTTGCTTGCAGGGTGAGATGCTACCTGGTTGTGTAAGTGGTAGAATTGGGCCCCTGCAACAGAACTCCTCATTATTTTATTATCGTGAGGTCTCCAAATGTCAGTTGCTTAGTGTGGTTCTTGGTAAGGAATGATTTCTGAAGGCAGTATCCTGATAACAGTGTAAGGCCCTGGATTTCCCATCTGAATACGTGACTTTTTTTTTTTTTTTTAATTTTTATCATTCTTTGCTTTCCTGTATGCAAGGAGCCAGTAATGTAAACAAACATCACATCCCTTGCATAACTGTCTCTGACACCAAACCTCTGAAAATTCTTTTAGTACATCCAGAATACGTGGGCAAAGGCTGCAGAATAAACATAATATTTTGAAGTATTAAAAGCTTTTTTTTTTTTTTGTCTTGGTTGCAAACTAAGCATTGACTCCTGTCTTGATTTTACAGCTTATTTCATGCTGAAATTATGCCTATTTGCATGGATAGTCATTCTTTAAAACTAGCCACAGATGCAGTCCTAGGGAGCACGTAGATGTTTTTACAGGTGAACCGAAAGAGATGGGAGCAATTCCAAAAAGTCTGCATGCTGCCTTTGGCAATATACCCTGTTATTGTGAAGATTGTGCTCTGTTAAGCAAATGTAAAGTTTAATATTAGATAAGCGTCGCATGAAAAATATTTTAATTTTCCTCAGCGTTAAATTTTAAGAAACAGGAAAGAGTTTTTCTAGTGCTTTATGTGCGATGTGAGTTTAGCATCACTAGTTAATAAGTCACAAATTATGTCAAGAGCCTTTTACAAAATGCAAGGAAGTGTGTTATCTTTTTATGCTGTGTTCCTGGGAAACAATGAGAGTTCATATAAAGAGAAGGTATCTTCCTTTCTCACACAGCTGATTGATGTTATTTCTTTCATCTTTCCCTGTTTTTTCTCATCTTTTCTGCATGTCACAGGAAATAAGATTCTGTGTATTCAAAATATTGCATGTAAGAAGGGCTTCACTGGGCATTTGAGATACTGTTCTTGGAGATTTTTCTAAAGCAGGGAGATGTGACACTGAACATGCCTCGTTTCTGCTATGCAAAAAATTCATCGTCATGTATTTTAGTATTTGAAATACAGAATCTTCAGCCTTTGGTAGCAGGGCTTGCTTGGAGAATATAGCATAAGAAAAGGGAAGGAATGTATGGGGAGTTCAAAACACTGTCATGGCTAGTCGCTGGTACATAGGAGGCTGTGTTAACGAACTACATTTTGGCCTTTATTTGATCACATCTCTGTAAATATTATAATCCTGACCATAAAATATTTTAATGCAGATTTGTTTTGCTGAATAAATGTTTCCCTAATGATTTAAGAGAGGGTTGTGTTTTTTTTCTCCCAGTATAAGCCTAAATGTATCTATGATTTCTTTGCCTTTCACATACACATATACTATCTTACCTACAATTAAGTGAAAGGTGTTGTTTTGACCTTCGAATGTTTATTTACCAGTTTTATCTCTCTCTAAAAAGCAAAACTACAGTTACGGTTTCTACATCGCAATTGAATTTTTTTAATCCAAATTTTATACAATTTATTGTTTTAACAATAAATCTTAAATAAGGAGTACTTTCATCTTCTTTTGTAACATGTATCTCAATGCCCTAAATTTAATCAATTGGTTGTCAGAGGCTGTGTTCTTCTAATCTACTCTTTCTTCTGAAGATAAACAGTATCATTTTAGGCATTTGTGCAAGAGAATCATATTACTGGTGCTTAAGCAGTTTTTGCTTTTTTAAATCTTAATCCATCTTAAACCAGTGGAGCAGAAATATTTAAAAATGTTTCATTTCAAGCAGAGTGCATAATAAATTGCAATAATTGTAATGTGCCATAAATCCCAGAGCCTATGCATTTTGCATTTTATTCAGGATTGAGGTCAGGAAATTTGGAGAAATTTAAAGAAAATGATTCATCAGTCCTTTTGTTCTGTTGGCCAGGGTCCCAGGATTCTTGAGCTGAGCCCAGCTGACAAGCTTTTGAAGATGGCACAATAACAGTCCAGTGATGCCTGACCATGACAGCACAGCCCTCTTAAGCAGGCAAACCAAGAGAAGAAGAGTTGACATTGGAGTGAAAAGGACGGTAGGGACAGCATCTGCATTTTTTGCAAAGGCAAGAGCAACGTTTTTTAGTGCCATGAATCCCCAAGGTTCAGAGCAGGATGTCGAGTATTCAGTGGTGCAGCATGCAGATGGGGAAAAGTCAAATGTACTCCGCAAGCTGCTGAAGAGGGCGAACTCGTATGAAGATGCCATGATGCCTTTTCCAGGAGCAACCATAATTTCCCAGCTGTTGAAAAATAACATGAACAAAAATGGTGGCACGGAGCCCAGTTTCCAAGCCAGCGGTCTCTCTAGTACAGGCTCAGAAGTACATCAGGAGGATGTATGCAGCAACTCTTCAAGAGACAGCCCCCAAGAGTGTCTTTCCCCTTTTGGCAGACCGACTATGAGCCAGTTTGATGTGGATCGGTTATGCGACGAGCACCTGAGAGCTAAACGCGCCCGGGTTGAGAATATAATTCGGGGTATGAGCCATTCCCCCAGCGTGGCATTAAGGGGCAATGAAAACGAAAGAGAAATAGCTCCGCAGTCTGTGAGTCCCCGAGAAAGTTACAGAGAAAACAAACGCAAGCAAAAGCTGCCGCAACAGCAGCAGCAGAGTTTCCAGCAGCTGGTTTCAGCGAGGAAAGAGCAGAAGCGAGAGGAGCGCAGACAGCTGAAGCAGCAGCTGGAGGACATGCAGAAGCAGCTGCGCCAGCTGCAGGAGAAGTTCTACCAGATCTACGACAGCACCGACTCCGAAAATGATGAAGATGGCAACCTGTCTGAAGACAGCATGCGCTCCGAAACCATGGACGCCAGGGCCGGCGACTCTGTCAGCCGGTCGGACAATGAGATGTGTGAGCTGGACCCGGGACAGTTCATCGACCGGGCGCGGGCCCTCATCCGGGAGCAGGAGATTGTGGAGAACAAGCCGAAAAGAGAAGGTCCCAAGGAGAAGGAGCAAGGGCCGAACGCCTTCCACCCCGAAGGCAAACACTTGGCCGAGACGCTGAAGCAGGAGCTCAACACCGCCATGTCGCAAGTTGTGGACACGGTGGTCAAAGTTTTCTCGTCCAAACCCTCCCGCCAGCTTCCTCAGGTCTTCCCACCTCTCCAGATCCCACAGGCAAGGTTCGCCGTCAACGGGGAGAACCACAACTTCCACACAGCCAACCAGCGCCTGCAGTGCTTTGGGGACGTCATCATTCCCAACCCCCTCGACACCTTCGGCAGCGTCCCCATGCCCGGCGCCACTGACCAAACTGAGGCGCTGCCCCTCGTCGTCCGCAAAAACTCCTCCGACCAACCCGCCTCAGCCCCGCCGGCCGGCAGCCACCATGCCTCCCTGCACCAGTCCCCGCTCTCGGCCACCGCCGGCTTACCCCACTCCTCC